AGAACCCAACTGAGGCAGATTTTTTAATCTGCTTATACACTCGATGTAGCATACACTTACATATAGATCTTTACCGAGTGACAAAAACACATTTCATAAATTAACATTTGTATAATCTCAAACTTTATTATTTATTTGTTTATTTATTTATTCATATTTATTATCGTCACTGGCATAACCAATTTATCATTTGTCATCATACTCATCATGGTTATTATCCTAATGATTAAAGCAGCTGCATTCCATTTAACATTTATTACAATTGCTTTCTCATCATGATTGTTATCATGATTATCACCATCAAAAGTAGGCACCCATATATTGTACTTGATGATTTTTAATGCAGTACATCCATCAGTATCATCATGATGAAAAATCTTTCACTTCTTATCATTTCATCATAGTGACTAGCATATTGTCTTAGTCATCATCATCATCATCATGAGCTTCATTTAAGTTAGCATAACTATCATCACCGTCATTGTCATATATATTACCATCATCATCATTTTGAAACATGCCCTAATATTGAAATAGCTTCCCATAAAAATGGTTATGGTATGAATGGGAAACGTACGGTACTGATTTACAGCATGTTAAGACGGTACAACATGCCGTAGCAATGAAATGGCTTTTCATGGCTTTTTGTCCATTAGTAATACCGCATCCAATCACAAGGCGTAGTTACGGCTAAGGTACGGCTTTAAACTGTCGTTTCTCACTGATACGGAAACAATTTTCGGCACAAAGTGTGTACGTATGAATCGAGTGTCAAACTAAGGTTAAAAGCGCTTGCAGCATGATAAGCGCGCTGCTGCTATACAACGCGTGAGCGTGCGATAAAACTTACGATCTGATCCGTTTCCGTGTAACTTGATACGCAATGCGCTAAGATAAGACTTTCCAAGGTTCAATAATCAATATAATATGATATGTTTACTGCCGCATGTTAAGTGCTTTATCTGAGCACGATGTTTTGACAAGAGCGACAGGTATCTTGTGTTTCAAGCACTAAAAGGAAATAATCATACAAATGAGTTTTCTATTTGGTATACAATTCCATCTCATTAGACAGATAATGCACCTGTTTGCGCACGACCAACTAGAAAACGTATTTTACTATTAAATGTATGTTTAACGATAAAGTATCCCTGAACACACGTGCCAGTTTTTTTCTAGTCTTTTCTTGCTTAATCTTCATGCTGTTAGCTTTTCCCTCTAATGTCGAGACTCGAGCCGCGGATATGAATCGGTTACCAATTAATCCAGTAAAATGGGGTTTGTTTTCGTTAGGAGTGTTCTTGCTGTTAAGTGGTGTCTATCCCACTTGGTATACTATTAATACAACTCGCCACAATTCTTAACAGGCACGATCAGAATGGCTTTGCAACCGACACCCTAAAGGTGTTTTTATTTTTTGTTTGCTGACTGTGCGCTGCACGATTCCATGTTAACCCAGTTATGAAAACAAGGAACTGTAGGAGGGCTTTCTGCAGGTGCGTCGATTTTGCTGAATTTAATGGCCGGACGGCAGAGAACAACTGGGTCGGCAAAATCTTAGTAATCCAGACGACGTCATCCCAATTTTTTTTTCGTGACTACTTTATTTAAAAATAGCGTTATAAGAGCATTTTGTTAAAGAAGTGTTCTTTCGACCAAACTAATACACTTGAGTAAGCTATCGAAAACCAAAGTAATTAGCTTGCGGTTTTTATAACATTAAGACATCATCAAGTATTAATTAGTATAATTAATCAGAAATGCTAGCAATGGCGCCCATAAGCCAGAGCAGTAATCCCTCATTACAGGTAGTTGTGGATATGATAAACAAAGCGGATAAATTTTCAGATTAAGGCTGATTTTCAAAATAAATGTTTTACTTCAACTAAATAATAACACAATCAATCGGTCATGGAATACAAACCAGTTTATTTATCTATCGTGGTATATTGTATTGCAGGTAGCAGTTGCTTCGGTGGTGTTTTTATTTTTATTTTAAATTGAATTAATTCCTTATTCTTTCTAATGACGCCGTTTCAAGTCCTGTATTACCCTTCCCTTCATAATGAATGCCTTTCATGGCTGTTATATACATATTCATTATGGAAGAGGAGAGATTGAAAGAGAAGAATTGGAATAGATCGGACTACTTTTTGCCATACTCTTCTAACTTCTACTATCATCTTAGTATAATTGGTAAATCTTCACTCGTTTTTTTTCACTTAGAGTTTATCATTATTCGTATTTTGTTGTTGTTATTATAATTTAAATTTTCGTTAGGGTGCACTTAATTTGGAGCCAAGCTCTGTTGTGCTTACCCCTTCCATGATAGCTTAGGAACTTAGATAATTGTCATGGATAAAGTTATAAATAAATAAACAAATAAATAGACAGTAGAGGAGAGGAAAGGAAAGGGGAGGAGACATTCAAGGTGTAGAGTTGGACAGGGGAGAAGAAAGAGGAGAGAAGAGAGGAGAGGAGAGGAGAGAACATGGGATGGGATGGGATGGGATGAAATGAGAGGAGAGGAGATAGAAGAAACATTGAAGGGGAAGAGTTGGAAAGGGGAGAAGAAAGAGGAGAGAGGAGAGAAGAGGAGAGGACACATGGGATGAGATGAGAGAAGAGGACATGGGATGGAATGAAATGAGATGAGAGGAGAGGACATGGAATGAGATGAAATGAGAGGAGAGGACATGGAATGGGATGAAATGAGATGGGATGAGATGAGATGAGATGAGAGTATATAGGTACGTGCATATATGTCAAACATATGCTCGAGAAGTATTTCCTTGTCCAAATTTTGTCTTTAAACCATATAAATATGTATGTTTTATGATATATCTTTTTCATCGAAGATTTCAGTGGCATATCATCACGTTCCTTGGTTTCTAACAAACACCAGAGATGCCGGACGATTTTCGTTTTAACCATGGTTGTCGTGGTAGCATAGCATCTTAGTTCACAATAACATATGTTAGAAGCAAAATATTTAAAATCCATTTAGCTTTAAATCCTTTCTCGACAGTTTTTTTCCTCCGAAGACCAAGTGTAATTTTCAAGAACAACCATTATTATTATTGTTAAAATTATCGATTTCTGTATCGAATTATGGGATCATTATAGGAAAATTGAGATAGAATACGCTATTACATTCGTAAACCGAATATTCTTGGCATTGTCCTTGCTCGTTGATACTCGACTAACATTGACAAATGATAATCACCTTTATTCAAAATAATTTTGAGAATTGTTTTGTGTGTATGATTAGAGTTTATTTCGTTAAAACGCTTGTTACTAATGTACACAGCCGTCGAGTCCTCTGGCTGTTGTGCTCGAGGCAAAATCTTCGTCAGATCATCTTGCTATCTTATCTTGACAACAATCAGCTGTCTTTGGATCTTTTAGCATCGTATTTTCTCTGAAAACCATAGAAAGACTAGAAAGTTTCTTTTGTGTTCCATAAACAACCGGACGTAATTTTTTCATTAATATCGAAATTTGGGGTGATTTAGGATTGCCACATCTTTCTTGTATTATTTTACTTAACCGCACCTTTGTCATAAACCCCTGCGTAGAAACAAATTATTTTTTGATTGTCATAAGTTGCGGTTGCCAGGGTGATCACTTGGACGTGCTGGGCTTGAAACCGCATATATATATGACATATATAATTTCAAATTCTAGAAAATGGACCTAGTGACAAAAAAGGCATGAAAAGCCCAATAAACGTAAAATCTTGTTTGATTTTAGGGATGAATGGAGCCTAAAGCTAAGCCGACATTGTTTAAGATAACTACTTGCAAACAACCGGATTACGATAGTTTAATATCAGCGTAAAACCTTTTGTAACTTCAAACACGCGCGCGCGAATTTTTGAGGACACTTTTGACTGTGTCATCGTTTTGGCAGGTGTGGATCACGTGACTAGTGGTTGGTAACCAGGTGTTATTTTACTGTCGTGTTTTCTTGGGTAAAATTGTCAGTCGGTGCAAGCTTTTAAGGCTTTAATTTCTCTATTTTTTATGCTTTTCACACTGTTTCTTTTCTTTGTACCTCGTTGTATAATTAGCACTTGTATGTATGTGTGTTTTTTGTATCTCTTAGTCATTACGACCATTCTCATCAGGCATCGAAAGAGCTGTAAAAGCTCAAATAGATATCTTCAGATGGTTTTTAGTTATCCTTTTCTTTATCTAATCTGAATAAGACTTCACTCTAAAGGTAGAAAATTAGGGTCAACCTCGTGTTTGTAAAGGATGTTTTCAAAACGTATGCAAAATCTTTTCTCTGATACTACAATATCAATCTTCGACTTTGACAAAGACAGTTTTATGCTCGGGCGAAGACATATAAACATACAAACCAAAAAGAGAGAGTCCACTACTAGATGAAAGCTCTCATCTTTAAATTGTTTAAGAAACATGCGTTATATATTATATCCTGAGAAAATAGGAACCGAAGGAAATCGGCTGTGAAACGAAGTTGGAATGCTAGAAGCAGATCAAGTTTGAATTTCTCTTTTATGTAAATGACAAACATTAAACAATTCATAATATGCAAGTTGGCTTCACTACTTTATAGATCAGATTTCATGCTCTCAATACTTTGTATTCCCGTGGTAGAACAAATCAAATCTATTTATGTGCCTTATCCGTTACGAATTGGCTTCAACTCGGACCTTTCTCGTACACATTTTATAATTCATCAACCTTAAATAGACACGGCCGATCTGGTGCTGTGAACGATTTTTCAATGAGAACCGGCTCTTTTTTTCTCTACAGGTACCAATACGAAAGAAAATAATATTCAAATTTGCCGAAAGAGTGTGTCGCGACTGGAAGACTTAAGGACTGTATCTTGAAGAACTGGAAGTTAATAGACACGCGAAGTTCGCTAATTTTTCTCCATTATACGAAAATGTAAAAGAAGCTTTCATTTAAATATTTTCTGGTTTCGGCGGTTGAATCTATGCGCGGCGACTTTTTCCATTATTTATTAAGGACTAAAGCTTGAAACCAGGCGACGTGAAGAAAGAGAGAGAGAAACAGCGAGACTTGAATAGAAGTCCGGAAAAAATTACCGCCGCCCAACCGATCGGTGAGTGGCTGGTTTTCTGTTGGTAGTTGTGGTTGGAGTTCGTTGTCGAAGACGGCCAGGTTATGTGTACCTGAATTAAAGCATTGTGTACATCTCTTTTTTGAATCCAGTGTTTGCAAATTTAACCTCGAATAGGTGACAGAAGTACAAAGGAAGACGGTTGATTGTTTTCCAAACTATCATTCAAGCAGTCAGTTTGCTTGACGCTCATTGGTCGGTTGGTTGAATTTTGTTTTTATTATATTGCTAATTAACAAAATCCTTCACAATTAGGCTTCTCTCATAGCGTACAGGTTGGAAGAACCTAGAGACTCATCAATCGGAGGTTGCCAAAAGTTCTTTCTTACTTCCTTTTAGCAGTTGATTAATCACTTGTGGCAACGTAAACGTATTTTCAGTCTGCTGAAGACTAGCAAGCCTAAAGCGCCAGTGGTCTTCCCTAATCAAGAACCACCGAAACATTTGGTACAAAATTCTTTGTTGTTGTGAGACTCCTTTAACCCTGCTATAATTTAGGCCAGTAGCCCATGATTGATTCGGAAAACCGATTTGTTTCATCGTTATACGGCATCGTAGAGACAGAAAAAAACCACGGTCAATTTGAGTCTGGACGTGGAAGATTTGGTGGATACACGCGCCGACAGAAATATAGGCATTAAATTGACTAAGTGGATGGCGAAAACAGCTCAGGCCGAATGAGACTGCGTTGGGAATAAATTAAGCCGTGTTGTTTGCCAGGAGAGGAGAACGGTCTCTCTTACACCTGTCTCATTGGGTTTGATGTGAAAGTCGAGTTGGGTTCCCGAGTCAGCGTATACTCTTATGAAACTCAGTCATGGCGGCCGATGTAGTCGCGTGGTTGCCGTTCGCTCGTGCGGCAGCCATCGGATGGGTACCTCTTGCTACAGCGCCGATGCCGCCGCCACCAGAATCGTCCAAACCCGAAGAACGAGTCACCATCAATGTCAGTGGAAGACGATTCGAAACATGGCGAAACACGCTGGCAAAGTTCCCAGAAACGCTTCTTGGTAGCGAAGAAAAAGAATATTTTTACGACTCGGAGACCAATGAATATTTCTTCGACAGGGATCCAGACCTTTTTCGCCATGTTTTGAATTATTATCGAAATGGAAAGCTGCATTATCCTCGAGGTGAGTGTGTGTCGTCCTTCGAAGACGAGCTCGCGTTTTTCGGGATTTCCGAGGACGTAGTACACGATTGCTGTTGGGAGGATTTTCGGGAAAGGAAAAAAGAATGCATGGAGAGGATTTTCGAGCCAGATAAGCTGGATGATGCCTCTCAAAATGGCGAAGAAATCGTGGATCAAACTGTACGTGAACAGCTCTGGACGGCTTTTCAGAATCCCCAGAGTTCGAAAGTAGCTACCGTCTCGTACTATATAACGGGTTTGTTCATTGCCGTGAGTGTTATAAGCACAGTAATTGAAACATTGCCTTGCAAGGGGAAAATCTCTTGTGGGGATGTATACAGCAAAATATTTTTTGGTTTGGAAGCAGCGTGTGTTGTTGTGTTTACTGTGGAATATTTAGCAAGACTTTATGCGGCACCGGACAGAGTCAAGTTCGCTAGAGATCTTCTCAGCATCATTGATGTAGTGGCGATTCTCCCTTTCTATGTAGGGTTATTCATGCCAAATAATTCAATAAGTGGAGCGTTTGTGACTCTAAGGGTATTTCGTATCTTCAGAATTTTTAAATTTTCTCGGCATTCTCGCGGTCTTCGCATCCTTGGCTATACTCTCAAGAGCTGTGCTTCGGAGTTGGGATTCCTTCTGTTTTCTCTTTCCATGGCCATTATAATATTTGCAACCGTTATGTACTATGTTGAAAAGGGAGAAAGAGACACAAAATTCACGAGTATTCCTGCTTCATTCTGGTATACTATAGTCACGATGACAACTCTAGGGTAAGTACCAAGTGATTCTTGTCTCTGTTCCCTTTTCATGACTATAAAAAAAAACATCATTATCATCACCGTTGTGTTTACATACACTAAGAGACAATCTCTTTTGAAAATTAGAAAGTTTACCCCGGGTATTTGACATGTCAATTYACTACGTAGTTTAAAGATTTTAGGGCAGGAGATTTCTTCAACAAAAAGACAAAATTATCGAATAAAAAAAAGATAGTGTGTTTGTTGTGTTGGTTGTGCTGGTGCAAGGAATCATTTATCATCAGTAAACACAATGGACAACACATATATCTACCTTGTATCTCACGCTTTAAATATTAGCTCACAAATTCGTTTTCTAACCAAACTACACGCAAACAAATGTTCGTTCAAAACCTTTAAAATCGATAGAAATGTTGTGAAAAATGAAGTGGAATGTAAAATAAGAGAGGAAAATGTTTGATGTGTTGTTTTATTAGTTAATTTTCGGTACATTTTTCTTCGTGCCTTCTTTTTAAAGAAAGAAGTAGCGGGCTCTGTATTAAACTTTCGCTCTCCAAGCACATTATAAATATTGGATATTATAGTTTAAAAAAAGACGCTGTACTACACTCGATTATTTTTCTTGACCAAAAAAAGTTGTTGGAAAAAAATACATGAATCGGCTCGAGTTTGAAGCCACCGTTTGATGCTAAAGCAATGTTTTGGTAAATACTAGGCCTTCGAGCATTTTAAACCCATCTAGAATTAAAATTACTCCTAATAACATAAAACGACACTTCTATGCTTTTGGATGTGACGGAAATACGGTATCGAACGAGTTGATGATTTTGTAAATCAACCCTCGACTTCCGTAAAGACGGGAACGGCCGTCGAATAATGGTTTGATGCTACTGTAAAAATGCGACGAATAAACCCCGATAGGATTTCTCTCAATAAGGCTTAAGTAACAAGGCTTTAGGTGTCTTAATCCATATGTTGGTAGATACTTTAGGTATTCGTAGTTTGAAGTGCAAAATTCAATCAACGTGTTTAAGAGTTTTCCTCGCCCGCTTTTTTTTCTTGCTCACTTCATGTGAAAAAAGAAATTCCTATTTCCACCGTTTTTTAAGGCTTCAGTTCTTTATCTTTTTTCCTTCCTTCCAAAACTGATAAATCGCGAATTAATATCTTAATTATTTTTCGTTTTGCTCCTCCCATTTCCTTCCATTTCCTTTTGTTTGTTTACTTGTTTCTGTCATTCAGTCAATCAAATTCTCTTGTAACCTTCAATTTCTTGACATTTATTTTGCAAGCCAAAAAGATTCAGTAAATTCTTAGGGCAGTGGATGCTCCTTTCTTAGGAGAGTTGGTCATTTTAATTCTTGATATTTTTATGTATACATGCTGCAACTACACGCAAGGAACCGTAATTGGCTTTCACATAAGAGTTTCAGGAGTCATTTGATATCAATTTTCTATGAAATTGCTAGAATATCACACATAAAACTGGCAATGCAATTCATGCTTGTATTTCCCTCTTAACATCGAAAAAAAAGCACGTTTTTCATGTCCAAATGAATGATCGATGACGCATGAGTATAATTATTAGATGGTATAATGACGAATGGATTTTTAAACCAGTTTTGAATGACGAATCTTTGCAATTGTGTCAAATATAAAAGCCTTTTCTATCACCGGGTAAACTAGTACGAAACCTAAGGTACTGGGTTAGGTCAATCGAAATTTTAAATTCCGACTACAGTAATTTCAAAATCTTGTTGTGTGTTTTTAACGTTCAAAGCAAAAAGCCAGACGATTAATGTTATTTGTTTAAATTACTGCCTTTGAACCAGAGGCTATCTTACATAAATGTAAAAATTGGTCCGAATTCTAATTGGATTCGGTTTAACACTTAATTTCAATAGGCTTTTCCAATTTACCTCGAGCTTGTACATTGATGTTGCTAAATGAAAGTCTTAATTAAACAACATTATAGGAAAGAAAAAAGTCAATGTAGGGACTACTGATGTGACGAGGAGTCAAGTGGTAGCTCCTTCCCACTCTGGCTCACAGGATTTTCCAATTTGTCTAAGGCCAGAGATAGATTGAAGATAAAATTAAGTGTTTCTATAGTTAGTTAGCAAGGAAAATTGTGGGTTCTCTTTATATATCTCTTTCATTTTTTCATTGATTTTTCGTTCACAAAGTGGGATTTAGAGTTAAAAATTTTCAGTGGTTATTTCTTTGGGTGAGTCGATTTTACTACCAAAATGATAACCATCACCTTTTCTTCCTTTCATTTATTTCTCATTTCCTTTTCCTCCCTTTTGAAAACAATGGACTTGGAAAGGGGTTTTGAGCTTATTTATGGGCAAAACTCTTAATCGAAACCTGCCATTACAATGAATGAAATCAATATTTTTGCCGACCCACAATAAACTGCTGATTCCCATCTTAAACGACGTAATGCTTATTTGTAATATCCTTATCATAAAATCCAAAACATTATTTCAAATTATGGGCCTCTAAAAGTAAAGAAGAAATGCACTTTTGTCGGGAAATGAAACATTTTTTAAGTCTTGAAAATCGCCGGTCGACATTCAATTTTCTTTTACTCATTATAAAATGCTGCTTTTGGCCAAAAGTTTCAGAATTACTTTTGGTTTGCGGCAACTGCTTAACCTATTTCATTGTTTACGCCAATATTATTTCCTTGACGTTATTTGTGATAATTACTTTCTAGTATGACCTCTAAAGAGTTAGGTAATTCTGCCTTTTGTAGCAGGTTATGTGTCGTCGATGTTGTACCCATTTCAAAATTTTAGACTACGAAATGTGAATAAATAGATGAGCGAACATAAGACATTTCCGATTTTTTCTGAAGAACAGAAAATTTTTAAAAATTAATTCTTATATTCTTTGACAGAAGTCCATAACTTGGTAGTCATTAACTTCTGTCTTTGATTAAACTAGTAACTTTAGCTTCTATTAGTATATTGTACATGTATTTTATCTCGCTACTAAGCCTTTACAAAATATTTGTCTGGCTATAAATCTGATTTTAGTACTAAAATTCGTCGAAATAGAAACTCATTTTAGACTGACGTTTAGATTTAGCCCTATTTCTGCTTTCTTTAAAGTCATCCTTCTCTTTCTCTCTTTCTCTCTTTCTCTCTTTCTCTCTTTCTCTCTCT